AAATCGCGCACATAAAAAAGCAAATTTTATATAGAACTTTTTTTTCTTATCATTTTTCGCGCTTTTCGCGCAACTGATAAGAGATAACTGTCTTCAACGATGTTATAGAAGACCTCGAGTGCTACAACTTTGCCCAAGACACCAAGTTGTTATCTCTTATCAGTTCCGCGAAAACCGTGAAAAACCGCGAGGACCCACTAAAAACGAACATACTCGCTTTTAACCAATTTTAAGTCGACAGAAACTTGCTCTTCTCTTTCGTAACAAAGTCAATGAAACATACACTACTCTCAATCTCACCCATAGATATATCAATCTTTCTTACTCCTCGAAATCGAAGTAAAAAACCTTATAACGTGCGTCTTGCTAACTCCCTGTGACATGCACACAAAAATACCGCAGGAATAATTGAAAGGTTCACCGGGAAATTTGACATTTCTATATAAATATTTCCAGTATAAGGATGAATGGAACGCCTGTAAATACGAAGTGATACCGGGAAAAATGAATATATAGAATGTGAAATTTTCCGGTGAATCTATCAAAATTCTCTGCGTTATTTTCTCTGTGTGAATTAAATGTGAAACATATCTAGTCCAAAAATAGCTTTGGTCGATCGGAATGACGGACATTTTTGGAAGATTTCCATTCAAAAGCATGACGATCAAAATTTTCAGATGACGTAATTGACCGTTTAACGCACTCTTAGATCGTTAATTTATGTGTGTGAGTTTTTGGGCGCCGCTTAATATGCTTTTGATTCGATTGAGTTAAACACAATGTAGTATACATATTCGAAGAGTGATGATGGATGAATGCTCATTATGAGTGCCTAAATAAACATGTAGTTTAATGGTTTTATCTTGCCTCAATAGTAACTACAAACAAAACAGACCAATTTCAAAACATGAGTTGACGAAATGTGAATAAAAACGAACATTAGAAATGTTTTCAACATTTGCGCATAAACTTTATCGTCCCTTGTGATGAATCTACGTTCCTACGTCTAAGTTTTTATTATATTGTGTAAAACTAGAGCTAGATTTTCATTTTAGAATATCCGTTGATCAGATTAAGTTAAGACATGTTACGAGGTGATCATTTCAAATTCTTCATTGGCGTTTTATGTATCAGTCATTCTGGAAAAATACGTTTGAAGGGAAACGGTGAAAAATACCTAAAAATCACATTTTGCAATGAAAATGAGCAATTTTATCCCAAGACCATGTTTAAAATTCAAATAAATAACTTAAACTATCAAGAAAATCTGTTGAATTGAATTCCACGAATTCCACGTCAAAACAAAAACAAACATTCCTTGGCTGCGGACGTTGAATTGTTTCATTTATTCAAATTCTTTACAAATCATTGCCGAAATCCAACAAAATGTTATCATAGCCAATGGCTTGTTGACGTACGTGACTTGCTCTGCCGTTGCGGCCATAAATATGTCAACGGCTATAGCACCTTCAATCGCCTTCAATTCTCCACAGACACACTATTTTTGCGCTTGAAAACAATCCGGCAACAAAAAACAAAGTCCTGTTTATTTTAAAAGAAGAAGATACTTTTGAGTTGAAATAACTTTTCATTTGGGGCTATGTACTAAAGATAAACATAAACAAGTATTCATTTCGTTGATATCATCGCCAATATATTGAGCATATATTCATCGGATATAATCGAATTATTTCTTCTGTTTTTCCGGTCTGTACATTCGAAGCGTGCAACACAATCGAAGTGTAAAGTAGTAGATAAGCTCAACAGCACCCATAGCATCAATCCCAATGAAAATACCTATCAAACCACCAGTGTTGGCGAGAAAGTCTACGAGGCCATAGAGTTCCGATCGTTTCAACGGTATAAATTGATGCTCACCATAGAAGATCGATAATCAACTCACTTGTGAGCTGAAAATAGTAACAATTGATCTTAGCGTAAAACACAACTCTGAAGTTTTATTGATTAGGTCAGACGAACACATAGTTCAAACTGATTTCGTTTATCATGAGCATACCCGTTGAATGGATTACCAGTTCCATTGGCAGAAGACGTTAGCAAATGTTCCGTTTCGAATTTGGCCTGGCAAATTCGTGCATCGTAGATGATCGATGTGCAAGCGGGCAAGCCGTACAGCGATAATTTGTGACTACGAAATCGGTTAACTTTTCAATTCTATGGGCGCTGCCATATTGAAAATTTACGTACGATATGGTGCACGCACTCAATAGTTCCACTTATTTTAATAAGGAATATCTATAGGTGGCGCTGCCACATCGTCATTGACATCGAGTCAAATATTGTCAAATATAATAACATTGTTTATATAGGCTTTTATCGCAGTACGGGGCTAGCAATTGCAAATATTGTTAGTAGTTTGTGCATTTTTAAGACCCCCAATCAAACCATTTCCCATCAATTCATCTCTGGCATCTTCGTAGCATGCGACTTTTGATGCACCACAAATTAGCGTGTCTTTTCCCCCTTCAAAGCAGAAAAAAGACCAAAAAAAAACAATTAAATAAGAGTTTTAAACCAAAGTGTTCATTTGAAAAATTCAAAATCAGCCAATCGTGCTGAGCTTACTCGGCATGGAAAATTTAACGCAACCGCATTGAGTTTTAGTAAAATTGGCTATGCATTCTTGTTCACAATTGCGCTGTGTATATATTTTGAAGAACCGCAATTTACGCTCCGAATTGAAGAAGCATCCGCGGATATTGGGATCGTAATCGCGTAAATCCTCCGTCGTGGTAATCATTTGCGGTTGAATGGTTACTAGAACTTCCTGATTCAATGGCACACGGAAATAATGTTTTGACACTTGCGGCACCTCTCCCGGCGTATGCAAGAGAATTTTGAACCCTTGAATCGGTCCACGACATGCGTAATCTAAATCTTTATCCAGTAGACGAAGTACCGCGAAGAATCCGACTCTTGCACCAGCACTAAGCACTCGATATGGATATGTATCGAGGCCATTTCCATCAAAATCATGGTAGCCGTTCTCTGGACTCCAATTTGTGGCATTTGGATTGCCCTTCACCGTCACCATTTCTGGGGCCATTCTGAAATTGAAACATTTATGAGAAAATTGATTGGAAATGTTCATGGTGTCAATTTCAATTTAGACGAAACTGATTGAGACACTGTGTTATTCAATGCATACTCATCCGTGTAGATATCGTGCGAATTAAGTGCGTTGAATGTAAAACA